CAATACTGTGCTGTTTTTATTACTATTGTTAATACAGTTTGATGGACAGAGTTATTAGTTCTTTTTTATTAGAATTACTTCCACTCATAAGGTATTTTGTGGTTCCATGCAAATTTAGGAATTTTTGTTTTGTCTTTGTAAATAATGCTGTTGGGGTTAGGGTTGGGCTTGCATTCAGTCTGTATATTTCTCCAGGTAAGATGGTCTTTTTAACAATGTTAATTCTTCTGATCCATGAACATGTAATGTCTTCCCATTTCTTTGTACCTTTACCTTATTTCTACAATGTCTTCTGGTTTTCATTGTACAAGTCTTTTGCCTTCTTGCTGGTTTCATTTAGTTCTAGATTTTTAATTCTTTTTGATGTGGTTATTTATTGTATTGTTTTCTTAATTTCTCTTTCTGATAGTAAATTGATTGCAAATAGAGACAGAAAAATGTTTTTTATTTTGTTACCTGCACTTTCCTGTGTTTGTTTATTCTGATAAATTTTTGGTGGCATCTTTAGGGTTTTCTATCAGTCAAATTTACTAACCATTTCTTCTTCCTTCACTTTTATGCTTTTAATCCCTGTTTAAGATATTATTCCTAATTATCATATTGTGAAACACTTTATGCTTTTAAAAATATTATATTTTAATTTTTAATTATTCTTTATGAAATCTGGATTTCATTTTATTTCTATTGTGCTGTGCATTTATATTTTGTTTTATCTATCAACATTTCTACACGGATAAATAATATTTACATTTCTTAAGTCTCCCCTACCCCATGTGATACTGAATTCTCATATCCATAGATCTGTTTCTAGGGAGTATATTCTATATATTTAATATATCAGTAGTTGTCTTTTTTAAATCTACCTTTGTGCAAAACCCACACTATTGAATTTTCTACAGCTTCAGAACAAATCTGGCAGAGGTGTGTAACTAGCATGAAGGCTTAATGCTTTATTGTTCTTAAAATAGCTTTTTCTGTTCTTTTGCCCAGTATGAAATTTTAAGTGAGTTTGTAACATATCACCAAAAATCTGTTGAGTTTTCATTGGAATTAATGAAGCTTACACATTAATTTCAAGGAAATTCCCATCTTTATATATTGTGCCTTGCTATCCATAAAGTGGACAAACTTTTTCTTTTGCTTGTATCTTCTGTGTCCTTCACTGGAGTTTTATAATTTCCTCATGAAGTTTCAATGCATTCTTTGTTGGGCTTCTTCCTAGGTGCCTTAAATTTTTGGTTGACATTGAGATTGGAATATATTTTCTTCTTTTTCTTAATTCATGTATATTTTATTTTCTGTATTTATACTTTGTATCTTCTTTACTATATTTTCTTACTGGTTATTTCTCATTAGTTACTGTCCATACATCTTTATATAAGCATAAACAAATAATGTGTATGAATCTGGCCAAATCATTTAAACTTTCCAACACTCAGTTTCCTCCTATATAAAATTGAGATTAAAAACATTTTATAAAATATGAATCATAATTATATTAATTCATATAGATATATGAACATGAAAGATGATTAGCATGTGTGTTTATATCTTTCTTCTATAATGGTACATTTCAAAGACAGAATACTTATAGAATATTTAATCATATATACAAAAATATAAGAATTAATTTAGAATCTGTTTCTGAATTATAATAATATTATAGTTTGGTCCAAATTGATCCCATTGCTTTTTGAATTACCTCCTATGAACTGACCTTGGTGTAATCAGAAATGTCCCGGGCAATGTAATGGGGGAGGGTAGAGAAGATAGCTTTAAGAATACTAATGCATCTGTGTTCCAGTTTCTGGTTATGCTCTTACTGATCATATGTTGGTCATTTCATCCCTATGGATTGCAGTTTCTTAATCTTAAGTGGAGGATTTTAATTAAACAATCTGTATGATTCCTGTCAACTCTTAAAAATTATAATTTTAGCACAGAATTTTCAAATGATAATGTAGATGCTTACAATTTGAATCTATATTAACCTTTCAAACTTTTAGCCTGAATCCCTTCTATAAAGAAGACAAAAGACCAAAGCATCGTAAGTTTTTCCATTTAAATATGCTCAACTTAGGATTAATTCATTCTATTACATAACTTTATACAGTGGTCTAAGTAGAAATTGTCAAATTAGATTTCACAAAACAAAACCCAAGCATCAAAAATTAACTATATTGGCAGCTCTTCCTGACTGCTTGTATTTATGCAAGTGCACTTTACTTTTCTGTACCTTTCCCCAATAAACCTGCTCTTTAAATACAAAAAAAACTATATTTGTAGATATATATTTTAAAGAAAAAGAACAGAAAAGGTATACCACTCAGTGCTAGTTAAATAAAAACTGTGCTAATCCTAGGAAAATAAATAGGAGTAAAGAACATGATACTAACAGGGCTAATTCCACAAGAAAACATCACAACTGTAAATAAGCATTTATCTAGCAACAGAGGATAAAAACAGAAATGAAAAGAAAAATGGATTCATAGGCCATCATTCTTCGCAAAGGAATTGGTAATGCTAAAGGCAGAAAATGAATCAAGTTATCAATGAACTGAAGAACTCTTGACTTGACCAACTTGGCACGATTATATAATATGCCATCCAACAAAAGCAAAATACATGCTTTTCTAGTGCTTACTGAACATTCATCATGCATATCTTGGGTTGCAAAACTAAGATAAATTAAAAGAATAAAAATGTATTATACAAGGCATGCTTTTTGACTAGAATAGAATCAAAGTAGAAATTATAAAAATTTCCAAAATGTTCCCCAAATATTTGGAAATTCAACAAGATGTTTTACTGTACCCCATGGGTGAAAGAAGAAATCAAAGGGAAATTAGAATATTTAACAGACTAAAAACAAAATAAAACATATCAAAAATTGTGGAATGAAGCTACAGTAATGATTAGTGGAAAATTAGTGCTTATGTTTAAAAGGAGAAAGGTACCAAATCCAATAATCTGTTTTCTCTTCAATAAGAAAAAGAAGAGAAAATCAAAACTGAAAACAATCCAGGTTTCTATTATTACAAAGTGATAGCAAGGTAGAATTTTGGGGATGATGGAATGGTCTAACACCTTCTGTGCTTTTTGATGAGTGACTATGAACTTGTCAAAATATGGAAATGTGTGCTAACAGTTAATTTTAGTATATGTAAATTGAAATATATATGATTTGCTAACAGTAACTAATCATTACTTTCTTTCCCTACATTTATAAATCTTTGTAAATGAAGTTACTGCTTCTAAAGTCATTCCTTGTAAAATGAACCATTTTATATACTATTAGGAGAACATCAACCTACATCACAATAACTTTAAAATGTATCCTAATTTCAAAGTTGTTATAATGTGAAAAAAATGTTCTTTAGTACATATATAATGTGATACTTACAAATTGGAATTTACCTTCCCATCAAATCACATGTCCTACCTTGGATTCTAGAAAATAAACATCAGAAACTAGAAACAAAGAGACAATCTATCTGTACAGGGCCTGGCATCAGGTAATTGGGGATCAGCTCTTTCAAAGAAGTGAAGTGAAAATAAATAGTGTCAGGGTAAAAGGGTTTCTTCCCTGTGTGTCCAAGAATCCTGCTGAGTGGTAACAGGGAATAAGACGTTTATCAGGGATATTTCCTGAGTCCTGTATGATTCTTCTTTGAATATAAAGATTAAAGCTACTACATCAGTCCATAGGTTTACTCATATATATCTTTATATAATGCAGAGAAATTAAAAGAAAATCTTGTTTCAAAGATTTTTTAAAAACCAAATAAAAGACATTAAGCTAGAATTGTCATTTACAAATGGGCCTCATTTAAGGAGAATTCAATATATAAATTATCCTTGAAATAGATGAATTAGAACAGGTTGTGATAGGGACATCTGATTATGTATCTTTAATAATCATTCATCAGAGTTTCTTTAAATAGTAAATAGTCCATTATGGTTTTAAATGCTTCATTTTGGTAAAATTTGATATGCTTGAATATCTTTAAGATCTTCTATGGTTAGATTTATGTATAGATTAATCACAGTTTTATCTTTTTATCATTTATGCGTTTTTATCTAGAAAAAGGAAAATACATTGCCAGATACTTTAATGGAGCCTATAGCTGATCGAGAATTACTAATTTGGGTATATAAACACAATAGGCTTTGCTTTGTAAACAACAAAAATATTTGTGTTTTGGGAGAAAATACTGCAGAACTTAGTTATTTCAAAATTAGTACCTGTGTTTTATGATGTCAATAATACATTCAATTTGCAATGCCACAATTAGAATTTGATATGTATTCTATAAAAGATAAACATGAAAGGAATAGGTCCAATTCATAATATTTTTAAGTGATCAACTCAAGTCAATGTTCTGTAAAATCATCCATAAGTGAAAGAATAATATCATTAATAAATTAATGAAACCTTTTATAATTTAAATGTTAATGAGGTTACTTGTTTATATGTTGAAGATTTATTTATTTATGCAGACAAGAAGTGGGGTGTAAGCCAGAGGTGGGAGGGGCAGAGGATTCACCAGAGAGAGTAGGGAGCAGAACAGGCAGAGCTACTGAAATACACTGGTGAGGGGAGCAGCAGGTGAGGCAGGAGAGGACTGCTGCACCCAGGGATCAAACTTGTGCTGTAGTGGGGATAGCTTGATAGGTGGCACTGTTTTTAACCCCCGCACCACCAGGGAGGCCCTTATATGTTAAATAATGACTTTTTCATGGCATTCCATAGGATTCAGTTAGATACAGTTCTCTAGCCCATAAGTTCTTCCTTTTTCCAACATCACTATTATATAATATGTGGCAGTTTCCATGAATAAGACTATTAGAAAATTTTGTTTCAGATTCAGTTGAACCAGATATTACAGCCAAACAATGTAAACTGTGTTGTATCCAGTAAAAAGAGTCTGGAGTTTTTATTCTAGCTGAAATGATGTTGCAGGAATGAAATGAACAAGCAGGAGATACAAAAGTATTCTATGTGCTCAGTATACATCCATTTATTAACGCATATGCCAGAGGATCACATCATATTATGCATTTGAGAAGTCATTAACAAAGCAGTATCCTAACAATTTTAACATGAATTAGTGGATATCACAGTGCTATGTTTTCAGACCCAGTGACAGAATGGTTCTGTGAATCACGAGATTTCATTTCTGTTCTTAACATGTCAGACCAATTCACCAAACAGGCTCTTTACTGCATGTGCCTATTGTCCATTAACAGTTGTGACCATAAGATACAATTTCGAAGTCCTGCTCTACAGCCAAGATTTTAGCTACAGACTCTAAGTAATCAAACCATAAGAATACAGAAAATGTACATTCATAATCTAATTCATATTCAAGAATCAACATAGTCGTATTTTTATGTACCAAGCCATATTAAGTTATTTTCCTATTGCATCCGATGCATCTTAGGCATATGAATAACATAAATTACAAAATTGTTAGCAATTTCTTCAGACTTTATTTTACATTTTTCACTGAAGAGATGAAGACATGACTTTTTGCTCTAGGGCAGTATATAGTAATGCAGCATTCAGTACAAATTGTTGAATATTTTTGAAAAGAAAAAAGTATTTAACCAATTATAACACTAAGTAAATTAGAAGAAAGTTATAGCTGTCAGAAGGAAAACCACTAACAATATAGCTACTTATCAGAGATAATATGAAGACACAAACCTTCCATCCCATTCTAAACCATTAATCCTGTGACTTTCTCAAGAATGACATTTGGTAGAGCCAAGACAATGTTGGATGGCAAATGCATCAACTTTTTGTTTTTAATAAATGTGATGTGACCTTGGCAGTTTTGGGGAACAAAATTTTGTCAATATATCAAACATTGTTAACAAACTATTTAGCATTGCTTTGTATAAGTTTGCTTTAATAGCATTTCTTCACAGTGATATTTCAGAAAGGTTGGAAACTCGGCATAAAATATTTCCTACCGTTTCTATTTTAGTTTGTATGCAAAAATCATCACAATATATCTGCAACTATAAAATTACAAACTCTTTCTAGAAGTGACTGCACTTTAGTTATGATAGAAAAGGGTTTTTGTAAGACATCTACAATGAGGTAAGTCTAAATAAAACAGAATTTGAGTAACAAATACTTTTGGATCTATGGGCAATATTAACAAAGACAGCTAAAGGACAAACTCAAAATACCAATTGTGTTTCTTAGTATGTCTAATGGATGAAAAACTGGTGATGTAATGAAATATCTTAAAAGATGTATGAATATTTTAATTTATGTCATAATTTTGGCACTTCATGGAACATTTATTTCCCAAAGACCAGAATTGGTATAAAAGTTCATCAGGTTTTTCACAGACCTTGTAGACACTGTAGTTGAGTACTGGCAAACACTGAAACATAGTGAAATAAACATTCCCATGTATTTGCACATGCATGCAGTAATCAAACAGTTAAATAGGTTTTGAATTCTTGAAGATGATAGCTTGCAGTATTTGTTTCAAGCACTCTCTTCAGCAGATCGTGTTTCAGATTTAAGTCTTACAAATTCTTTAGCCACATCATCGCTGGTCCTCTGAGAAAGTATTCTAAGAATAGTCAAACCAGTTTCATCCATAGAGACATTTTTCAGAAGGGGATACCATGCCCCATAGCTTCCCTTTTCTGCTATGTTCTGTAGCTGAATTACTGTCATTCCAATGATTCGATCTTCTCGGGCAAAGCAGTAGTCCTTGACTGAGAGATGAAGCTCATAGGCCCCTGGGCGGTTTTCATTACCCAGAATGCTGTGAGGATAAAAATAGGAATTTTGAGCAAAACCTCACTTCACTAAGGGATCAATATGGTTCTAAAATACTGGTATCACACGATTTGTCAATATAGTATTCTATCACTGTATTTTAACTCACATGCACAAATCCTTTAAATTTTACTTAGTTTTTACATAGCTATTACGTGCACACTAATCTTAAAAAGCCATTCTTTCCCTAAATAGAAAATTAATTTAAATATGCTTTACTGTCTCAACATTACATATATTAGTGAAGCCAGAATGAAAATATTATGTTGTGCTTTAACCATCGGAGGCAGTCTCCCCTCTGATGCAGGAGTAGAAAGAATAAGGCTGCTAGGAGTCATGGGAGCTGGGTCAGGGCCAGGGGTGCTTCTGGGAACAATTTCTGTGTCATTTCAACACCAGTGATTACAATTCCTTTTCTTTACCTCAAGCTCCTAGATATAGCCAAGCTCCTAGATATAGTGTTATATCTAGGAGCCTTTTCTTTGGGGAATACACTGCACAGACTATCAAGCACTATTCGCAAGATGCTAAATTGGACACAAATCTCCAGAGTAAATAATTTCCAGCAGAGCCCCACACTTTCAATGCCGGTTCTTCCCTATTGCAAGTTAGATCTGTCAAATGTAGGGCTGAGGATGGCCTCTACTAATAACAACCCAAGACAACTTGTCAGAGCAGAACTGAACATAATGGAGAAGACTGAGTGGTGATATGCTGAGAATTATTCTCCACCGCCCCTTATTTTAATACAGTCTCAGATATTCTTGACTGCTTAATGAATCCACAGCTATTACTCAGCAGCACAAATATCCAAATTCTTTCCTTTTCCAAGTGACTTTGTGAACATTTTGCAGAGTCAAAGTTTAATTTCAGGGTGACAGTGATAACTAAACTGTGTACTTAATTTAGAGACAAACTTAAATAATGTGAAAGAAAATGGAAGCCGTAGGAATAGAAGAAAATATGATAGAAGTCAGATCTTCTTGAGAATTAAGATGTATCAAAATGCTACCTTCTCCAGAACAGTAGTCTTGGTAGTTCACAGTGTTATATCTGGTTTTTGCATGATACAAGTAATTCCTAGAATCTTTTAGAAGATATTTTAAAGTGTTTTTGTAATTTGGAGTAGACAAGTGGGATCTTGTGAATGGGGATTATAACATGATTATTATATCTTTCTAAATAGGTATGGTAGGGTAGTTACATTTTAATGGGTGGTAAGAGAGGGATGTATTTGGACCACAGACTACTGAAGATTCTCTGGAAAGTCAAACGTGCAAAAAAAATCATAAGGGACTATTGTGGGGTGTGCATGTGTGGAAGCCACCTAGGACTTCGTCCTGTGCTCCCTTGACTTCTCTGTCCTGCCCTACATCAACTTACCTATTCATGTAATTAATTACATCTACAGGCAGAATTCTCAAGTTGTATCCTATATATTTAATATCTTCTCTTGAATGTCTAAAAGGCATCTCTAACAGATGGAAAACAAAATCCTTGGTCTCTTCATTCCCAATTTCAGTAAGTTACTAATTCCCTATCGCTAATGCCCAAAACACAGGGGCAGTCCTTGATTTTGCATTTTGCATTAAAACACTGACCTATAAGTTCAACATCCATAGCATTTACATGGTCTGACTTTCAGGTGGTTTTGGCCAAAAGGAGTTCCCTCAGGAAATGAGAAGTCAGAATCTTGAATTCCCTGACTCCTTGCCTATGAAAGTGATTCAAATAGGCTGTTCCCCTCCATAGAAGTCATGCTCCTTCTAAGGTGGCTGACAACACGTGACATTTTCCCTGTCCCATTTTTTTTAATAATTTATTTTATTACATAGTTTTGTATGTTACTTGATTTCTCCCCTCGGGTGAAGTCACCATAGTTCTCCTACCACCATAGCACCCGTGAGCCATCCCCATAGTCCCCTGTGCTCTTCCCTCCCCTGTTTGGACTCCTCTGTCTCCCCCTCCCTTGCTGTACACCTCACATCTGTGGTCTACTTGCAAATTATGTCTTTTTCTTGACCCTTTCTAGTGTGTCCCTATATTCCACCTATAACTAAGAGCATCTGATAACTTTCTGTTTCCTTCTGACTTATTTTGCTAAACAGAATCCCTCCCAGCTCGATCCATGTTGCTGCAAATGGCGTGAGTCTCTCTCTTCTGATCACCGAGTAGTGCATTCCATTGTATATCTATACCACATCTTCTTGATCCCTTTGTCTGTTTTGGGGCATTTAGGTTGTTTCCATATCTTGGCTATTGTGAATAGTGCTGCAGTAAACATAGGAGTGCAAGTTTCCTTTGAGTTAGTGTTTTTGTGTCTGCCCCTTTCCCAGTTTATGAACAGCTCTTCCTCTGTGTGGAGTGGTAGCCACCTGATTATGTTAGCCACGGGCTGCAGCACCACTGGTAGCTGTTCTGCTCTCTCCTATTTGTGATTTAATTTGTAAATAAATTTGTCTTAAATTATCCTAAATTGAATGTTCTATGGAACTTATCATCTCTTTAATATTCTACCTCCAGTTCACTGCAAATTGTACAGAATCTACTTCAGAGGTAGTTTTCCCCCTCTTTATATCGTTCTCCCACTTCCTTTTCCCTACTACCTCTTGGCCACTCACTATTACTTCTTGCTTGGATTAGTGCAAGACTTCTAACATCCTTAAATGACTGGTCTTGCTTTCCTTGTAATTATTTCTCAGTACAGCAAACAGAATGACTTAAAGATAGAAATCAGATTGTTCATTTTACTGGAAAATCTTTCAAGACTTTTTGTTGAATTTAGAACATAGCTCAGTCTCCTTTCCCCAAACTGAAAAATCTCTGGGTAATCTGGTACCTGCACCCTGACCACCTTTTCAGACACACTGCATCTTGCTCCCTATGCCCTCTCTACACTGTTTCTTAAATACTGGGCATAGTACTGCCCTTGAGTACTTGCACTACTAATTTTGTTTGGCCTGAAATTCTTTCAACCCTCTTTCCTGCATGAATAGTTCTTTATTTTCTCAGGTTTCAATTTAAAATTTACTTGCTCAGAGAGGCTCCCTAAGCACCAATGTAAGCAGTCAGCCAATCATACTGCCACATCATCCTATTTTAATTCTCTGCATAGTACTGTCATATGACAAAGTTTTGTTTATGTATTTGTGATTTTGTTTATATATTCCTCATCTCTAGAAGGTGACCTGAATGAGATCAGGAACCCCCTATTTTATGTACCCAGCACCTAAAATATTGCCAGGCATTATAATGTAAACACTGACCAAATACTGAGCAAATGAAAAAGAACTAAAAACCACAGCCTCCTTCATTTGCATAGGATGAGTGATGAACAGGTTTTGCTTCCCTTAGCAAAATTTAGTGTCACTGCATGCAAAAATCCCTCAGTAAGTTCAACTGCACAATGGCTATTGCACAATTAAATAAAGGCACTGGGCTCCTGACTTACAACTGAAAGGTTTCATTGTACTTTGGTGACCACGTGTTGCTTTTTGTCTTTGTGCCTTGTTTTCTTTTCTTGTCTCCAAGGTTGGGTCCCAGTATACAAACTTCCACAAAGGGGCGGAACATTGCTGTGGTCTGCCAGTTTAGGTCATTAATAGCAATCACTGAAAACAGAAATGGAAAGGGAGAGGAATAGAAGACATTAGCAAACAAATAAGTGCAAACTTACTTTCTCCTTTTGGTCCATAGGGTGAAATGTTATTTTTAGAAATGAGACAGGAAGCCATAACTTGTACTAGTTAGAGCCCCACCAACAAGATGATGTCCTTGAAGGAAAAACAACCTCCTTTCTGGAGTGTATCCTTAATGGAGGTCTCAGTTCTAAGCAGTGTGGCACTGAAATACTGAGTAGTTTGTAATTGAAATGACATTTACTACTATTGAAAGTTATCAGTCCTCTTGTTTAGGTAAAAATATGTCTTACACGTTCAAAACGAAGACATTTTCATTATGAAATATGTAGAAATTATACAGCAAATAGATTAAAATAAAAAATTTATTTTATCATTCTGAGGAAATAACATGGTATTTTGGTGTGTTCCCTTTCAATATTTAGTTACCATATATATAATTGTAATTTATTGCAATCTCATAGTAGCTTTATTTTTTTAAACAATGGACATTTTCCTAATTTATTATATAGTTTCTAGTTGCAAACATCCCATTGTATGACTATTCCATCCTATATTGTACCAATTATTAAATATTATGACTCCTAATTTCAGGCATCATAAGCAATTTGTAAATGAACATTCTCATATGGGCACTTTTGCTTATCCTTGATTATATCTTTAAGAAAGTTTCTTATAACTATAACTGTTTAATGGCTAATGCAGAATGCTCATAGAAGTTTGGGCATTTGATATATGTAAAATATATAGTGTGTACATATATACAAAATATATTCCAAAAATTAGGTAATGCAATTTTAAAATATATTAGCACATCATGCTTTGAATCAAAGCAGACTTATTTAAAGTGACTAAGTCTATAATAATATAAAAATAGAAAATGGTTTCTTCAACATTAACCCTAAGGTTCACCTTAGACATGAAACCTGAAGATTGCTTTTTCGATATAAAACCAGTAGATTTACCCACTCACTAAAAGAAATCAAACAAGTTGCCAGAGATGACATAGAAAAAGAATAGTTAGTTATATTATGTGACTAGTAAGAATAGATTGACGTAACATTGGACCAGTTACGGAGCCAGTCGTGGCACTACCATTTAATGACTATCATAGCACCAACCATCCAGAAAATGTTCAATGTGCACAGTTTTGAAATCTACTCACCAATGTGAACCATTGTGAGATATTTTGGGCTACCTATCTGTGCCCTTGAATTTTTCAGTCAAAAGTCTGGTTTCATAAAAAAAGAAATTCTTAGTGTACCCTAAAATCACTTACTATTCATTTTAAAAACAATGGTCCAAGAAAAAAAAATTCATTTTGGTATCATTACTGCAGAGGTTAAAGTCTAATAGGCTGTTTGATCTATGAGGACTAGACATACACCTTTTACAGTCACTTTATGCTCGCCAGTTCCCGGGGTGGTGGTGATGTCCACTTGAACAGATATCTGGCCCACTGAGTCTTTTGAGGAGCGACCTGAAAATAAGCACAAGTTTAGTGGTCTGAATTTTTAGCTCTCTTAGTAATGGGCATCCACATTCTCTTAAATTCATAAATAAGTTCATAAAAAGGAATTCTACTTTTCATCACCTGTACATAATAAATATTGATAAATGTTCACTAAATTTGCTGTGCAGATTTGAGGCTTGAGTACAGTCCATTGAACTAAAATTTCATGTGGTCTTCAGGAATGATAAGCCACACTCTGTGGATTATTACTATTTTAAAAGTTGCATTTGCCTTACTAGGCCCTCAGTACAGCTCTGTTCATCGCTCATGCACAAGGATGTGTCACCACCGTTCATTCTTCTGTTAGCTTTTCTAGTGTGCCATACAGTGCCACACAAAAGCGACTTTTGAAGTTTGAGTTGTAATTCATTGTTTAGACAAAGGGAGCTGAGGAAACCGCATGTACACATATATAGATGCATAAAACAGAATGGCATATACTAGAGGTGGCAAGTAGTTCAGTATGAATGGAGCATAAAAGAATAGAGAGGAGAAAGATAAGAGAAAATGTTGGCACTTTGAATACCATGTAAAAATCATTAGTCATTATCCTTGCACTGCTGAGAAGACTGTTAAGTATTTGACCCTGAGTGGTACAGTGAAATTAATTTCAGAAAAAAAATTCTCATCTGTGTGAAAGATGCATCATTCTCATCAACCTATTCTCTCTGGAAAATCTCGTATTTGCATCTCATTACACCATGAGTCAATTCCTAAAGTCCAGACCTTCACTAGAATACTTCTGATCATATTTTACTTCTTGTGTTCTGCTGGTCCATGCCATTATCTTTGGCCTACTTCAAAAATGTCTTCATGTTTTCATTGAGACAAACCACATATTTGGAATATATTTTCTCTATTATCCTATGAAACCTTGTTGAAATACCTCTACTATAAAATACTTTCATTTCTATCCTATAAATAATTTGTACTTATATTCTTGTTGATTCCCTCAAATAACACAGCACAAACCCCTGGGCAATGGAATCAGACTGCGCCGTCAGATCGCAGCCACTCATTGACAGTTAAAATCCCATGAACTTTCATTCCCTTATTTTAAAAGTCAGAATAAAACCACCTACCTGGTAGCATTGTGGGAGGCTAAAAATAGTAATTTTAAAAAGATACAGACTATTATGTGCTGTGCACCTAACATCTGTCTAGTTAATGGTCCAAGTTTGTTACAATAATTCAATTCTTAATAAAAGGACATTGCAAAGTTATTAAGTCTCTGGCAGATTAATGCATAAATCCTAAATGTGAAAATTATGCAAGAGTCCATGGATATTATGGCTAGGTGAGAGATTATAGAAGACAAGTCCAGGTAACTGGATCTTTCCCCAATAATTTTGGAATTCTTCCCTTGACTAGATTTTCCATGTTAAATTTCAATAGAGAGGGCAGGATTTTAATGACCCTCCCATGTCTGATAGAGAAACTTCTCCCTTCTATGATATAAAATTTTGATTAACAAAGAATTCAGTGAAATGAGGTTTCTTTCTTTTTTGTTGTTGAAATCACAATTCTTGGGGGAGAAAAAAAACTCTCAGAAAGACAAAAAATACATTCAGGTAGTGAATTTATCTCTGTTGTTATAGAAGTTAAGTGTCCCAGTTTATGCTGAAGACTTCTTTTTACTGGTGAGCTTATATATTACTCAGCATTAATAGCAATGACTGGTTTCTCCACAGAGTAGACATCAAAAATTGGTCAGGCAAGTTATAGATTTAACATATTTATAAAAGAGAAAGGACTTTTATCAGATCACATATCAGAACATGCCATTTCTTCATCTGAATTCCTTATTAAGATAACTTCAAGACTTTCACTGTGTTGTTGCAGAATTTGAGAGATTTCTCTGGTAAAGAATATACCATTCTAATTAGGAAAATGTGTAAATTTCTGTTTAGTTATGTGTGTTTAGTTATGGGGGAAAATTTTATGCTTTTTAAGAGCAAATAATAATTAAAGAACTGTGTTTAAAAACTTATCAAAGATACTCTTCAAATGTAGAGTCTGCTTTCCCTTTCCCAAAATGCCTTCTGGAGCCTGTCCTTGTGTACCCTAACTGAGTATGTGTTTTCTATGGAGCGATGTAAGATTACACTGGGGAGAAAAACACATTAAGTAGCATACTTATGTATTCAGCAGTGCCTGAACACTGAAATTTCTTTGGTGGAAATATTTACTAGACTTTCAAAAGTGTACATATTTCTCCTTTTCTGACACAAAATGTGAAATTTAATGCTCAATCAAATCAAACATAGTTTTGAGAACTGGCTGCTTAATGTAAGTACATCCCTAAAAATGAAGAACTAGGAATGTAATTGCTTTCTGACAATAATGGCTGGAAGCAACTGGTTGAAGAGAAGTTATCATTATTGCAGTTGTTGCTGAATAGTTGTGTTATTCTGAATTGTCAATTCAGAGCGAGCTCCAGGTTTGTGCTTTCATTGGCCCTACTTTTCTACCACTCTTGAGCATCTGTGTTATGCCTAGTTCTGCAGTTAAGTACACAGATTGTTTCCTTTTTAGCTACATTCCATAATGGCAAGAAATCTCTAGTGGTGGTAGTAATCTGTACATCTAATCTCTAATTAATATAATAGCATAGTATTCTCCAATTATGCATTTATTCAATAATTAAATACATAAGTAGTCCTCACTTAGCACAGTGTCAATATGCCTGGATTTCAATCTCCAAAATTAGTAAAATAACAATGTTTTTCAACAAAATGTTTAGATTTCAGCTATCATGATAAATGAATAGCATTGAATTAAGTACAACCTTTGCTGCTAAATTTTTAGTCCATGAGTTATTTTATAAATAACAAATGTCTCATCAGCAACCAATAACATCACTTCTTTCAAAGCCTGTTGGTGATTGGTGACTCTGCATCTGTTCAATTCACACACACTAAAGTGTGCTGCTGCCTGTTTCCCCATGATAATGTGAGATTTTATACATGATAACCATAAGAGGGAATTGTCCAGCAATGACGACAGGACAGCAAAGAAATGAAAACTGAAAAAGCTGGACTGGTTTGCATAGAATGTAAATGTGTTACTAGAAAAAAAATTACCAACCCTGTGGCTGTACACACTACCACCACTGGAGGACTCTAGAAAGGAACTTAGACAAAGAGTCAAAAAAAAAAAAAAAAAAAAAAAAAAGGAACTCTAGCCAAGGAACTTGGTGAAAGTGAAATAATTGGCATAAATTTACAAAATGAAGATGACTAAGAGGAAATGATATCAAAGCAAATGTTCACATTCAAGGAACATCCAGGATAACATCCTAGTTTTACTAACATATGGATCAATTTTTTTTCTTCAATTTGTTTATGGCTGTCACACTCAGGAGTATGACAATTCATCAAACCATGGAAAAGATGCTCATCTGTTATAGTTATACTATGAGAAGAAACAGGGAAAGCAGTGTGCAAACTACTTTTGAAAATATTTTAAAAAGGAAATAAAACATTTTAATTCTCAGTGTTTCTAATGTTTCAAGTGAGTGTTTTCAGTAAATGTAGTATTTTCAATTTCCCTCCACATTTATAACTAATAGTAAAAGATGGTTTCTTTTGATGAAACTTTCTTAAAAGTCATGGCAGAATCATTATTTCCCAATACTTAGTAAGATTGCTTCTGCACATTTTTATTGCTCAACATTTCTGTACAAAATGAGGGTTGCCTGTAGATATATTTGAGTTGATTCATTTAATACTTTGTAGGTGCTCCTGTACAACCGTGGAAGCTGCTTGTCAGTCAGATGGAAGTAACGTGTGCAACACCAAGCAATACATTTTCCTTCTATCTTGAGGGTTTGGTTCACTACAGCTACAAATCTGATTGTACTGCCTTTGTAAGTGGTAGAATCTGTTAATTAACTATCCTAAGGTAAAAGTGGAACTGAACAGAAACATTCTGAAGTTGAAATACTAATCAGGCAGTTATTTTCCAAAAAGAGCAAAAAGACAATATGCAGGAGACCTCCATTTGCCATAGAACTGAGTATGGTCTTTATCTAACAATTTTTATGAGTATGTAATGAAAATTTAATGAAAGGCTATGCCCGTTACATAATGTTATCTATTCTAATTCCATAGGAATTAGCTATGTATCCCTCAATTCAACATCTGAACCACTGGAATGTGTCCTTTGTCACCAACATTAGTGGATCATGATTACCAAACTCTCCACCTCAGGAATAAATTGTGCTCATGTGAGTAAGCCCTGGCAAAGGGCAGGAGGATGAAAGTACCAATTGCTTTATTTGAAACACTTTTCAGAAGAGCAGCGTTTGAGAATAAGAGATCCTGATTACTAAAAGATTATGATACAGCATTATATAATTAGCACTCTACTAGCATTTGTCTCTCACCCACTGTAATTTGGGTACATTCTGTGAGGGAATGAATCATCTTATAAACATTTAGTAATTATTAGTGTAATTTTTGAAATTGATAATTACCCCCAAGTTTTCAATTAGCCTCCTGTCAAATATTAACTAAAAAGTACCACAGCTTTTCAAATGACTACAAAATGTTGATCAAACTTCCTGAGCTCCTCATAGAGGAGTTTGTATCTGTCCCCATGGAACTGGGACCCCCAAAAACAAGTGCTGAGAACTGATGAAAGGTGACAAACATTACAATGCAGTATCAGAGTTCACTGCCCTACTGCTTCTCCTCTCTTTAGGTGTAAGTCTCCAGGTGGGAGTCACCTACCTCCATCAGTTCCCTAAGTCCTAAGATTTCACCAAAGATTTGGGGGTGGTAAATAAACCAGGAAATGGCTCGACCAAAACCCCTTAGTCTGTTTATTCCTTCTGTTTTTCTCCTGTTTCATTCCTATTGATTTTGCTCATGAGATAATGCGCATGCTGTTTAATATATATTTGAAAGAATTCCACTTTCTGATATTTTTTGACCACTTAGGTGTACCAGGCATTGTGCTAAGTA